GGTTTACTGTGCAGATGCTGGTCATGACTGCTGGAGGTGTTTTTCTGCAATGCACTGAGATGCCAACCTCAGTAGAGAAATGTAAAGACTGAACTGAATTTTTACCTAATGTGAAATCTTGGCAGAGAATGTGTTAATAAATAAATAAATGCCTTAAGAGCATTTTTTTTTTTTTTTAAATACCAGTCAGCTCTACTATTCAGTAGTTGTAAAGCATAAAAACAATCCATGCCATCACTTCCTGGCCTTGTGACTAAGATCATGTATTGAATCTACAATAGTTAAGTCCTTATCTGACATTACTTATAGTTTGCCAAGTCACATAAAGAACCTGAGCATTTCCTCAGTTTGATTCCATCGACGACTGAGAATTCCACAAGGTTTTGAAGGTGTCAACTGTTCATCCTCAACTGCCTCTGAGTTTTTCAGCCTATGTTTGGAGGTGGCTGATATCCTCCAACTTTATTTTGCACTTTTCTCCCAGCTATCTCTCAACCACAGCAGACTTCTCTCTCCCAACTACTGTTAAACAGGTTTACTTTTCAACACCTAAAATAAATTTCCTGCTTACTCTACATCTATAAAAATACTTCTTTTTCAAGGTCTTTAGTAAGAGAAATTATCATATTCTGGGAGAAAGTACCCAAAAGTGTGTCGGTCATCTTATGAATGTATATGGTATTCTAAAATGTCTTAGATTTTCTCTTTTTCCAACCCTCTGAAGAGTGTGATTTGGATACATCTGTTCACAAAAAAGGAGCCCAAGTGCTTGCTGCCAGTTAAAAAAAAAAAAGTATGACTTCAATTTTACCATTAAATAAAATACCAAACAACATTAGCAATCTACCAGACCACTGAATCTTGTTGAAAATTGAAAAAATTTCTAATTAAGTCACCATCTCTAAATTAATCGGTTTAAAATAAATGTTAATAAATTAACGATCAATATAAGCCAGAGCTATAAATTAGTACTATTTCCTGTTAATGCTGTTACAAAAATTTCATTTATCACTGACTTACAGAAAATAGTCATTTATACTATGGAGACTTCAAAGACTGAATAGCTTGATAAGATCTACTGGGGAGGGGCTGGGGAGATGGCTCAGTGGAATAAGCACTTTCCTGGCAAGCGCAAGGGCCTGAGTTCAATCCCCAGTTCCGCCAAAAAACCAAAAAATCTACCAGGGAAATCTGCTTCAGAAAATCTGAACTACTATATGCAGGACAATATGTAAGGCACTCGAAATGCCAAATGTATTAGATTACACTGTTAAAAGAGCTGGGTGTGGTGGCACACGCCTTTAGTCCCAGCACTTCAGAGGCTGAGACAGGACTGCCATGAGTTCAAGGGTGTGTAGTGAATTCAAAGCCAGCCTGAAGTATGTATCAAGACCCTGCCCCTCCCCCAAAAAATTGTATAGCAGTTACTTTGTGTGTTATTCAGTATAACATTTATCACTAAATAATTCCTGTGGCCTACAAGTTAATAATTTTAAACCATAACCCCACTTTGTAACTTTCACCATAACTCACTGGGTTTCTCACTACCACCATTTTGATGAACAGAAATGCATGTCAAGCTATCTTTTAGGCTGCTATATTCCTCATTCCCACAAAGTGCCTTTCCTACTATACTACTGTATCTCTATTATCCAAGCAGAACGTTTAAGGATAATGGCTTACCCACAGTAGGCAGTTGATAAAGGCCTCTGGAATTGGAGATACAAAGCTTGACACAATATATGGATAGTAGAAAGTGAGTCTTAGTATTTGAATAAAAGCAAAACTTTGATTTAGTACCTTAATGTATAAGTCACCCAAATAATGGAAAACATATCATTTATTAAATCAAAACGAACAGTATGCTTTTCTTGCAATATGCTAAGTTTAGACTTTCTAGTTGCATTTTCCTCTATTTCTAGCCTCATTACTCTATTGCTCCTGTGACTAATAAGTTAATAGTCCTTCAGATCTTCATGCCTTATCAGACCTGCCCTTAAGGCATCCTGAGCCAGAAAAAAAAAAAAAAAAAAAAAATTAATAGTCCTTAACTGAAATAGATTTTAATTTTAGGTCCCAAGTTTCAAATGTATCAATTCCACTGAGCCATGACATAGAGAACACCTAAGACAACCAAGCTTTTAACTTATTTTTGTTAAGATTCTACCAAAACCATGGAAATTTATAATAAAGGTACTAAAAGGCACATTAATGCACAAAGGACGAACATTTATATAGTATTGAATTAGCAGCAGAGTTGTAGAAATTTTCACCGAAGCTTAAAAATCTTAACATTAAGTGAAATAAACCTTTGAGACATAGAAGTTTAAGTACTCCATGGTGTCTCTTTTATGAGAAACTCAACATACAAATAAAGAGCAAAAGACAAATAATAGGAAACAGGAGATCTTTCTCAGATGGGAAAGGGAAAATAAAGAGTTGGAGGGAACCAGGAGTGATGAGAAAGGAAAGGAAGCCCCAAGTTAAAATGTGTTATGTACATGTACAAATTCCCCTTAATAAGTGTAATCACTATAAACTATCAAATATACTACTAATAAAGAATTTTCCTAGACCTCCAGGAGATCTAAAACGAAGTATTTACTCAGAGGATTTGCTGTGAAAATTACAAGTAACAGCTCTGTTCTTGGCCAGCCTTATAAACCAAGCAATTCTACACTGAAATATAATCTAAAACAAGGATTCCATTCCAAGTGGAATGTTTCAACTCAGAGTGAGCACTGTAGCTAACGTTTTGTGCTCTCTGACCTAAGCTGAGTGTCTGGGTGACTACAGAAAAAAAAAAAAAAAAAAAAAAGATTAGAGAGTAAATGTCATGGGAGTTAAAATTGGACTACTGGACATTACTACTAGATCAGCCCAGTGAGAAGAGGAACAACATTCTTTACAATACTAAAAATAAGCTTTTATGATACAATCTTAGTAACTTTGTGAAAACTGGGCACATCTTTAGTGTAATCTGGAAGGAATTTTCTATTTATATAGGTATATTCTCTAGATTTCTCCACAGAAATTATGTAAACATTTAAGAACACAACAGCCTATTTCTCCTAGACTTCACGCTATTTTTGAAGTTGTTTGTGGAACTATTTACAAGAACAGTTATTTTGATTCATTTAAGTAGCTTTGAAAACAAAGCAAAAAAAAAGGAATCAAGAAACTAGAACAAGCCATCTTCTCAATCAGAAAATGGTAATTCAGAAAAAAATGACTACCTGTAGTACTTGTTGAGCATTAGTGTTTTAAATGTTAAGGTGTGAAAACACGGTTAACTTTTTCAAAAAGTAGAAACTGTCACCTATTTTAAATCAAGACTAATGAAAGCACTAATTACAATGGAGAAAACTAGTAAAATACTTATTACAACAAATAAATCAGGGGAAAAGCTAGGTTATAGTCTTTTAACTCAGAAACTGTAATACAATCCACCATGGCATTTCTACTTTATAAGTTAAGGCCCAGACAATTCAAAGACTTTATCTGAGATTATACAAATATACTTTGTCTTTTAATAAAGAATGTTGAGACTCTTAATTTCCCGGGTTCATGCTGCATAACAATAAATCTCTGCTACAGATTTTAATTATCTTGGAACTTCTAAAAATTTGTAACAGAAGCTAAAGTTGATGAATAGTTAACAATTCACTAACAGGATTGGTGTAAAACAACACAAGTACTGCTTCTATAGTAAGTATTACAGCACTCTCTTCTCTAAAAGCAGGCAAAAGAGATATCGAAAAATATTTAGAAAGGGTCAGGGATTTTGCTTCTCTAAGTCTATAGGAAAGTTTTTCACCATTTTCATTTTTGTTTTATTTCTACTTCTCAACAGGGTCTCTTTATGTAGCCCTGGCGGACCTCCAATTTGAGGCAATCCATCCTCCTGCCATAGCCACCTGAGTGCTGGCACAAGTGTGCACCACCACACCTGGCACCTCATGTTTTCATATCAGAAGATAGGATATCTGTATCTGAAGCACATTTTTCAAGTTTATTCATTTATTACCCAATCATGAGGGGGGGGAAAGCATTTTTATTACAATACCAATACTGAAGCAGAAGAGGAAATCCCAACTGTTTACTGATGCTGTTTTGCACCAAATGATCTCTGAAAGAAATGAAAGTACAGAACAATATACTCTAAACTATCTGTGTAAAGTAATGAAACTGTATTTCTCTGTGTCTAGAAAATTATAAGGGGGCCAGGGAGATGGCTCAGTAGAATAAGTGCTTGCCTGGCAAGTGCAGGGGCCTGAGTTCAAACCCTGGTTCTGCAAAAAAAAAAGAAAATTGTAAGGACAAAAAATATATTCCTAATAATATAATGATGCAACATTGAGACAAGTTAAAAAGAGCAGACAGCCTCTCTCACTAGTCTTTGGCACTATCTGAATAATCTCTTTCTGTACTGCAGGACACTGACCCCACAGCCTCACTCATGCAGTGGGAAAAAGCGCTCCACCAAGGAGGTACATGCCCGAAATAATTTTTTATAATATTCATGAAATACTTTTTTAAGTTAAAAAAAAAAAAAGAAAAAGATCTTCAATATTGGCAATGTTACTGCTTCTCTAAAACACACATTTTGTCCTTTATTCGCTATATCCAAAGAATATTTACATAGATATTAATAAAATTAAAATATTTAGATTCACTCTAAATAAAAATGCATGTTTATTCCCAAAGCTGTATAGTAACAACATAGAAAAATCATTTCAATGTTCTTGAAATTCTAGATACAGGTATTCTACTCTGTGCTTTATGAACAATGGCATTCCTCACTATTTTGGGGGCTTATTTTCTTAAAAAAGATTGAAATAATTCATTTTACCTTTAGATAAATAACTGATAAAATTTCTATTTTCGTAAGTAGTTTTCTAGCATACACATGATAGACTGCAGTAAATCCCACTTCAACAGAAATCCTATAAAATAAACATCAAGTACAATTATACTGTTTAAAAAAAACATTAGAAAAGGTAATTCAATTTTAATTTATTTTCATCACTTTTTCTTCATGATCCAGATATTTTAAAATGCAAAAAATTAACTTTCCATGATATGTCAGGGACCGGCACAAAAAAAAAAAATTTCAGACGGCAAATGAGACATACAAATGAAAATATCAAATGGAGATCCAGTTATCAAAATGAAAGCACTCAACATATTAAAAGTTCACAATTATTTGTACAGAGCACATTAAAAAAGTCAGTTTGCTAACCAACTGTTGTGAATTTTAAAGAACTATTGCAGAGATCTGAAGAAAATAGATTTTATTAGTTAACTTATAAAGAGATCAAAGAGCCTGAAACAAGTATTAAAAAGAAATTTGTGCCTTTATTAGAATGGTGTTAGGCTTTATATATACCAATTTTGATAATCAAATCTTTTTTTTTTTTTTTAAATAAGAAATGATACTACAGAACTGCAATACTGGTCCAACAGTCTTGTCTTTACTTTCCATTTAAAGCAAGAAACATATGCGAGCACTAGCAGCCATCATTTGATCCAAGACACTAGCTTCTTAGTTCCAAAAGCACTTGCAAAGAAAACCAGTGGTGGGGATAAGGAGGAGAGGGAAATGGAAGCAATTCATACCACAATAACTGGAATCCCCTAAGTGTGGATGCCAGGTCTCATGAGGCTGTTATTTAAATTTATCCTTTACTTGGTCACTTTTGTTTCCTCAAATACTTTTCTTTGACCTTTTATCCTCAAAGTATAAAAAGTATGAAATATAAACAAGCTCTTGCACTGCACACTTAGAAGTGTACAATTCAAGCATTATAGAGCTATCTACATACTGATAAATCCCATCAAATCTTGGATAATTCATTAATATACAAAATATCAGGGCACAGAAAGAACTAAAACCCACTTCTTTTTATTACACATAAGATTCAAATATTCAATTTAAAGAAAAAATCATTTTGGCTCTCTTTTACATCTCCATGTTGATATGCTTATTAAAATACTCCTGTATGATCATGTTTGCTCTTACTATTTCATGTCAGGTTTAAAACATCAAAATGCCAGCCATCCAGACAAAACAGAATATCAGAAAGATTATCTCTTCTCCACCTCCCTAACCCCAACAGCCTGATTTTACGACATGACTCCAAACACTGGATTGTGACGACAAATGCTAGGTCCAATTTCTTCATAATCCTTTTTGGTGTGGCATACTTGGTAGAACTCAGGCTGAAAATAAAAATACACATTTTTAAAAAGATCAAAAAGCTACCATCTTTCAATATAATACTTTAAAACAGGTTTTTAAAGTGAGTTAACTCTGCAAAGCTTATTAATCTAGCTACACTACTTGAACAAAGCTTAGCAATCCTATAAACAATGACTTAATGATTAATAAACCTGTATCAAAACTGAAAAGAGATATTTAACTCAGATGCCATCCTCCCAGTGCCTGTTCCTGATTGGGTTCTGAAATTCTGAGGAAAGAAAAGTTGACTCTCAAATGCCTACTCTGTTCTGCTGAGGCTTTCCCATACTGCATGAACCAAAAATATATAAAGAAGCTTCATTAATCTAAGATACAGATGAGATAGTGCCAGCCATGGTGCAAATATCAAAGCATCACCCTGTCTTTGTCACTAGAGATAATGATAAACTACCCCACAGTCTTTGCCACAGCATTATCAAAAGACGAAACCACAAACTCAAGTAGCTCTATGGAACAGCTCCAGATGACTACAAACTTAAGAGTATAAACCTTATCTCCCATTTATAGTTTTAAATCCAAAGTTGTACAATTATTCAACAACTAAGATAAAAGCTCCTTCATTTTCATATTCCATGTATTACTAGGGCAAAGCACTATTATTAGGCTAATGATATTAGGGCAACTTTTAAAGGAGCTTTTAAGGATGTTCTGATTTGGGGTCAGCTTTTTTTTTTGTATTTTAGGGAAGGGCCTACAGGGTGTTCAGAGTCTCACTACTAGATCAGACTTGTAGTGATCTGCCTGTTTACAGCCTCCCAAGAGCTAGGATTACAGGTGTGCCACTACGCCCAGTCTCTATCCCCATCTCAGTGTGCCCTAGGGCTGGGGCTGGCATGGCAGGCCCAGGGATTGAATCCCAGGTCCCTGTGCATGCTGGCAGGCACTTTAATCCACTGAGCTATTTGGCTGGCCCATGGGTCAGTATTCTTAAAACATTCTCTTTATTCAATTGAGAACATCATACTTTTTGGGCAGTAAAACAGAGTATTTGCCTTAATGATTACAATATTTATTTGCAAAGGAAAAACAACTATCTTCTGATACTGTATTACACAGGCTTAACAGCATTTTCCTAAAACATACACTTTAAAACAGTATAAAATGCTCAATCTAAAATAATGTCCACACAAATAAATAAAGACAATAAAATAATGTCCAAGCGAGCCGGGGATTTAGCTTAGCAGTATAAGCAACTGCCTGATAAGTGCAAGGTCCCAAGTTCAATCCCCAGTACTGGGAAGGGAAATTTGTACAGAAATTTTCTGTACAAAAACAATGTCTAGTAAGCTTTAAATTAACACTAAATTAAAATTACTTCCAGTTTTGAAAATACTATGCACCTGCTATCAATTCATAAAATTTCCCATGCTGTGTTTAGAATAACTTAAAAGATTTTGTTCTATACATATCATTGGATCGTCCTAAGAATAAACATAAAAATTTACAAGCAAGACTTTATTGCACTCACCGTGGAAGCCAGCATTGATCCTCCAAACCAAACTGCATATCGCTGCATATGGTGTGTGATAACTTGTACATCAATTGGTTTTGGCTATAAAGTAACACAGTCATTTCAACAGTAAATACAAGTAACAATTTCTGTATCATTTAACTTTAAATCTGCACATTCAAGAAACACTAAATTCAAGTGACATAAACTAGAAACAACTAAGATTCCTTATTAATAGATGAGGGGTATCAGAAACACTGAGGAAGAGATAGAGATAAAAATAAAAGAGGATCGAATGAACAAGGGAAATAACAGTATACTTTTTCTATAGTTGTTTCCAATAAGAAATTATGTACTTAATAAAAACCAAAAAAAAAGATACTGCAGTTCCTAACATAAATGATAAATGTTTAACAAGGGAATGCTAATTACTGTTACACGTTTCATTAAAGTATCAAATTATCACTTTGTCTCATTATTATGTACAATTATGTCAATTAAAATTGAATTTTAAAA